CTATTTTTATAAAGTTTATTTCCAATCAAATTAGATTTTAATGCAACTTGTCAAGATTGTTTCCACTGTACATTAAAAGCTTCATTTGAACGGAATCAGTTTCTACTTTTGTTGTATGTTTCTATTTCCTTACTGAGAGCCACCTAGTAAAACAAACTTGTGGTGCAAGTTTATTTTATATTTTCATGCTTAGAAGGAACTTTTCTTCACTATTGACAGATTTTATTCATATGAGGAAGTGAATAGCAGGTGCATTATATGCATATACTGAGGGTAAATAAAATATCAATCAGTAATAAATATTATATTGAATTAAAGCTAATAGCTAGACACATATTTTAAAATGCCCTTTAGAGAACCATTATATCATATTTTATGTTTAAAATTTAATTTTTATGTGTTGTGTCTTAACATTGATGTTATAAGTAAATATTCCTGGATTCATATGACTATAAAATAGAATCATATATGTGTTTACATATATGTATACAGTTATACATATATTCATATGGTAGAGTTTGAACATAGGGACTTGCTTATGGTAAGTATGCTAAGATTGAGTTATATTCCTCACCCTAAATTAGTGTTTTTAAAATCATTACACTACTATGATTTGAAATTCTCTCATAATTTTATAGTATGACTACAAAATTTTCCCATTAGTCACGTATTTTTCCTCTGCATTGGTTATTTTCCTTTTTAACATTAAAGAGAATATAAATTCATTGATTTCATTACACACATAAATTGACATGTTGAAGTGAAACCCCTTTTTACAATTACTTCATGATAAGACAACATAAGAAATACAAAATAAAAGACAAAAAGAAAAATGTCAAAAAATCCATCACTAAACTTTTAAATGCCAGTAATAGGAAAATACTGAAATATTATTTTTTTAAATAAGTTTTTCATTAGCCAATTAAAATTATTTTCTTAATAATTTCCAAATTTTATGTAACAAGTGGTCCAAATTGAAGGAAGAGTAAGTATGAGCCTAATCACTGTGGTTGCTCTGACCTTCCCAGGTTCTTCTACATACAACTAGTGATGATTTACACATATATTGTTCATGTAATACTGGCTACTCATCTACACATTTAGTCAAAACATATGATCCCATCATTTTTCCTTGTACCATTTTCTCCTGAACTCACTGATAAAATTCACTCAGTGATTTGCTCTTTTTTCACCTCAGTGTGTTTTTTCCAGTGTATTTTCCAAATGTTTTGATATGTATACTATTACGATATTCAAAGTTTGCTCACCTTCCAGCATTCATAGAACTTAGCTAACAGTTGTTTTTATTCTTATAAAATTCAATGGCCTATTTGAATGTAGTTACAAAAATAGGGGGGTTGAAATTTCTTAGTATCTATTTTACATGATGCAAACCCTAAACAATGTTTTCTTTGTTGTTTTTTTTTTCCCATCTCTTCTAGAAAAGTGTCTCATTTTTTTTTGGCCCTTCTAGATGAAGAGACTTGAAAATAGAGAGGTGAAATAGTTCACCACAGATTACAGAAGGAAGACATCAAGACTTGCTCCCAGGTTTAGCAATCTTTAAGCATTAGGATTACTCCTCTGCCATAAATAAATACCCTAGTCATGTCTCAACCAGACAAAAGTTGATGGCATAAAATGGAGAGCATACAAATAGTTGAAATCATTATCATCACAGAGACCTAAAAGTTTGTCTCTTGTGTGTGTTCTCTGCCTAGAGGATCAGAAATTGACAACCATCGTAATTATAGTTTACAGATGTGATCATTCACTAAATTCACTATAGTATAACTATATTTTTCTTGGTTAAATCAATAAAATGTGTTATGATACCTGTTTTGTGGATAAAAGAAATACAGCCATAGGTAGAAAAAAAAGTAAATTCGATTCAGATAACATGACTTTGTTATTGTTCTTTATTGTAGAATTTTCTGCCAATGGAAATTGCTTATAATTTAGATCCTTTGTAACAGTTAATTAGATAATTAAAATTGACTATAGAGAAAAGGTAAGTATTCTTATATAAATAATCTTAAATTATTTTGTATTTATGGAAAACATTGCATTTTTAAACTACATTTCAATTATATCAACTAATCTTGTCAAAACTACTCAATAAATTTAAGAACATTCCTTTTATTATTTCCATTACTGTCTACATATCCAATCTCATCTGCCATATTTCTGCTTGACTTTGAAATATTAAATACTTGTAATTTATGGACAATAATAGGAAACTTCCTATGTCAATACTAAATCAATATGCTTCTAGTCTGAGATATTATTTCTTCTTTTGTTCTTCATACTTAAAATATGACATGTTTTATAACTTACCTCTTATTTGTGAAATAATCTGTAAAATCTGCTCTCTAAATCTCCAGGTAGATTTAATAACTTTTCTGCTGTGATAATAATGAGCTTTAAATGTGGTCATATTATCACACAGTTTGTTTTATATGCCAATCTTACTTCTAATCTATGACTTCATTGTGGGAGCACTCAAATCAATATAATGAATCAATGTATTAAGAGCTACAGTACATTTAACATATAACTGATGGGATTATACAGATATATTTTGAAAAATGCACTTGTATGTAATGGTGAATGCCAGAATTAGAAACAATTTTTTGTAAATAATAGAAATGAGAATGCATATGTATTTGAGCATGTATATATAAATACATATGCTTTCTTCAACACATTTCTGACAGACACTTTCAGAAACATTTCAAGTGGACAGTATTTTTACTTAAAAAGATTCCTTATTTAACATGTATTTTTTAATCAAAATTATTTAGATGAACTGTGCACCAGTGGCTGCTGCCTGTAATTGTAGCTACTAAAGAGGCTGAGATTTGAGGAAGGAAAAGGCATGAGACTTTTATCTCCAATAAAGTATTCATAAAAGCCAGAGGTGATACTGTGGCTCAAGTGGTAAAGTGCTCACGTTGACCAAAAGAAGCTCAGGCACAGGGCCCAGGTCCTGAGTTCAAGTGCCAGGACTGGTAAAGGAAAAAAGGTGTATGGATAATTTATATAAAGCCATAAAAGTTTTATATACAAACATGAATATTATGCCATTTAGCTAAATCATTACAATGTACACATTTAATTTGGAAGGAAAGTTTAAAAAATAAGCAAAATTAATATTTGCTAAGACAGGTATGTAACTTTGAGTCAGCTGCATTTGAACAGACTAAATTTTCTATTAGAAAATATTCACTACAATTTGATTATAATATTATTGTAAAATGATTATGGCTAATTTTGTAAACTAATAAAAGGATAAAAATGGTTTTCAAACCAGTAACACCCTAACAAATATAATTTCTTATGACTGGCTTCAAACTATTTCCAGAAGTTAACTACCTTGGAATATTAATTAATTTGGTATATTAATTAATTATTTTCCAGAACATTAATCACCTTGGCAAATTTATAGACATTTACACTTTTTCAGAATTATTAATTTTTAAATGATAACTTTAAAATGAAGGGTACAAAATGTTATGAGTTAAAGTTATTTTCTCCTGAATTCCAGCCCATGCCTCAGATATTCATGTGTTTTTTGATGTTATAATACAGTAATAACTATTGTAGTAATTAACAGTCATCTAAAATTTCAACTACTGATAATAATGCCCCTATTTTCATAATATATTTGAATTTCACCTCTTCTTATCATCTGTCCCCACAAGCAAACAACTGTTCACAAATCATAAACCCTAATTTTGAGTCAGAAATTATAGTAACTGTTTCCTGTAAGAATATCTGTATTTCACTTTTGTAGGAAAGACGCCTAGAATTATGAGTTTGTGAGGTGCAAGTACTTTTATGTGGCTTTCTGTTTGCTTGCTATTTGTACATTATGCTTCTTGCTTATATCATATATTTGGCAAAACATCTAAAACAGCTTTGCTTCTACTTTATGTTTACAATTAAAATCAGATTATGGAAATGTTCAATGATAGTATTAATTCTGCAAATGACAGTGCAAATAAGGTGGATTCCACATAAAACACTTTTGTGGGAGCTGTTGCCAATGTCATTCCAGATTTTCCCCAAGGCTCTTTCTGCTAACTTGATCTTCAGGTCATACAAATTATGTAATAATTGTATCACATTCTTGGTTTATTTTACTGTCAAGGAAGTAAAATTAAGTTGGGATGTTGCTTGGTGGTAAATATCCTGCCTAGCATGAACAAGACCCGTCTGAGTTCAGTGTAATTCCCATCATTGATCACTTTGTAAGGGAGAGAGAAAAGCAAGGAAAGGGAAAGAGATGAAGAAGGGAAATGGGAGGGAAGTAGGAGAGAGAGAATTCAGGAGAGACAGGAGGGGGTCTCCTTGTAGAAAGTACAACATTATTACAGGTAATCAAGGAATCTTCTAATATATTAAAATTGAATAATTTACAGTGAAAGTGCTTTTACTCCTCCACATGGATTACTTTAAAAAATAATATTTAAGAGGACTATACCACACAGTTTGTTTCACTCCACCATTTGCAAAAGGAACAAAGATATATCATTAAATAAAACAATGTTTTAAAAATAGATTTTCTGACAAGTTGAAGGTAGAGTTATTTATTTGGAATTATTAGACACTAATTTTCAAAAGTTTGCATATGGATTAAGTGGGGGTGTGGCTCAAATAGTAGAGTGCCAGATTTGCACAAAAATGCCAAGCCAGAGTGCAAGAAGACGAGTCCAAGTCCCAGCACCTGTATATGTGGGCGCGTGCGCGCGCACAAACACACACACACACACACACACACACACACACACACACACACTTGAAAACAGTATTGCCAGGATAGAAAATTTTGTTATATGTGTCCCATGCATAGTAGATGTTTGAAACTACAGCCATTCTTCATTGGAAAACAGGATTCTATTACACTTCAGTGTTATGCATTTAGCTAATCTTTCTCTATCTTCAAACAGATCTGTTAGGAGATAAGAGTTTTTAGTTTCCTGAAGGATTTCACTTACCTCTTTTGGTGCATCAGCTACAATAAATTCAGAATAAATTCTCTTGGCTTTGGAAACTATTTTTTCTGCACATTCTGTTTTCTTGAAGTCTTCACAGGCAAGCCAAAATTCAACATTTTCTTCACTAAATTCCGATTTTAGAAATGTTCGAAAAGCATCTAGACCAGCTATATAACATATGTGAGAAATATTTGTTCAATAGAGAACAATAAAATGACAAAAATGAGTACATCGTGTTAGTACATTGACCATTTCCTTAGCAACCATTGGTAAATATTGATCAACCTACTTCATATAATATTTGCATCTTTTGGTATTGAACTTCAGAAAAATCTTATTTCTGATCAATAATCATAAACACAAAATATATCTTCTCTACTAACTCCACCCACAAAAAAAAGTGAACACTTTCTTTCAAGTTATGAAGAGTTTAGTAATTACACTTGGAAACTTTTGACGGTAACCTCATAGTAATTCCTGTAGGTTGTTTTTGAAGCCAGTTGCACTAATTTTAAGCCACATTAATATTATACTAAATGCAGAGTAAAATATCTGTTTCTCTGAGAAACAATTTAATATTCAAAGATTAAATTGTGCCAGGCACCAGTGTCTCATGCCTGTAATCCTAGTTACTCAGGAGGCTGAGATCTGGGGATCTTCTTTCAAAGACGGCTTAGGCAAAAAAAAAAGTCTTTGTAAGACTCTTATTTCAAATTAACCACTCAAAAATCATAAGTAGAGCCAAAAGTGCTCAAGGATAGAACCCAGGCCCTGGGTTCAAGCTCCACAGCTCACACACACACACAAAAGTATTCGTTTGGACTTCAAACAAAAGAGACACTGCTGTACTCTACTGGTTTAGTGACTAGATTGGACATTTATCATCTTTAAGTCAAGAAGTAATTGAGATATTTGATGTGGATACTTCTCTTTATTTGGTAATAGGCATCTTATTTTGTAAGGCAAACAAAGAGGCTGTTCCCCAATATTTCCTAATCAAAATATATGACCTCTTCCATTCTCCTTCCATGTAGCCTTTGCACAGTATTTGCTCCTGAACATTTCTTGGGCAACTTTTAACTAAAGGATACAAATAAGTCTTCTTACGTGAACACATTTCCTTTGTCTTGGTTAGTATATGCTTAAAAAAATTAGTAACCACAGACAGGTCATATAATCTGTGATTTCTATCTGTTTCATCTTTCCCTTTTCTTGTTTACAGTCAAATATAGGCCATTATTTCTTGCTCTGAGCACTTACTTGTGAGCACTTGTTTAAGTCCTTACTTCTCTGCTGTTCTCATCAAAGTGTACCCTGAAAGAAATTTACTTGAGATGGCTAGTTTTGCTAATTATGGCTGAGTAATTTATATCTCTGACTAGGTAACAGGTTAGAAAGATCATATCCCATCCTCTCCAATGATTAGGCCTCTTCAATATGATAAAAACCATTTAAATCAGATTCCTAGTCTCATTCTTCATGGCAGTTCTGTTCCTGACTGAGGCTGTGCATGTTTAGGAGAGGGAAACCCTCTTGCTCCATTCAGGGGAATTTGCCTTCCAAAACACTGATAGTTTTTTCCTCCACCTGCTAGGAGGGCCCTGTGCATGAACTCAAAGCAGCTCTCCTCAGGCTTCAAGATGAGAAACATAATCTTTCAAAAGTCAAGATAGAGACAAAGGAATTTTATGAAGATATTGAGAATAAGGAAAATTAACAAGAGAGAATGAAAATGAAAGAAGAAAGTTAATGGAAAGGAAACTACACCAGTTTTTATTTATTTATTTATTTTTGTTGGTCGTGGGGCTTGACCTATGGGCCTGGGCACTGTCTCTGCGCTCTTCAGCTCAAGGTGAGCTCTCTACCTCTTGAGCCACAGTGCCACTTCCTGTTTCCTAGGGGTTTTATTGGAGATCAGAATCTCATGGACTTTTCTGTCTGGGCTGGCTTTAAACAGTGATCCTCAGATCTCAGCTTCCTCAGTAGCTAGGATTAGAGGTGTGAGCCACTGGTGCCTGGCTATATCAGTTTTGAAATAGGAAATAGAAGTCGAGTCTTGTAAGAAAAAAAAATCTTGAACAACATTTAGGTGTCTAAAAAGTTGGATTAAAATGATTTAACATTTTGGTTTCTTTGAGTAATGTTGAAACAAGAAGTCATTGTGAAAGGTTTCAGGTAACTATTAAAATTCTCAGTAGAAACATTTGAGAATGTAGATGTCATTAATAAGAGAGTGCTATATAAATTTAATTAACTTGCATTTAAAAATACATCCAGTAGTTTCCTGTGACACAGATTTAGGTTATAAAACTCCTTTTAGCAACACTCAATTAAAAATTTCCCTGAATTTGGTCCAAACAATGATGCATTTGGGAGGTCTAAACAGAATCATTTTAAAACTTATGTATAAGAGATAAAATATGCTGTATAATACAGGAAACATTGTAGATTCATGGCTAGTAATATTTTATGTGTGTCATTAAGACTTTAAACTCCTTTTCAGATTATCTACAAGCATCTAGAGAAATGGGAAGAGATCAAGGAATTTTAATAATTTATTTATTTTTTTGGGGGGTCCGGTTGTGGGGCCTGAGTGCTGTCCCTTAGCTCTTCAGCTCAAGGCTAGCACTCTACCACTTGAGCCACAGTGCCACTTCCGGCTTTTTTTCTTTTTGCTTATGTGATGCTGAGGAATTGAACCTCGGGCCTCATGCATGCAAGGCAAGTGCTCTACCACTGAGCCACCTTCCCAGCCCCAATTGAATTATTTTAATTATTATTTCTCTACAGTTTTAAATATAGGCTACTCGGAACTCAATGTATTCCTTCCTTGGTGTAATATGACGTACAATAGTATTAATGCTTAGGGCTTCAAATATGCTCAGATTTCTTGCTTGGCTGACACTCTACCACTTGAGCCATACTTTCAGCCTATTTGATAGTTGTTTTGAAGATAGAGTCTCATGGGATTTTCTGCTCAGGTTGGCTTCCAACTTTAATCTTTTAGATGTCATTCTTCTAAGTAGATGTGATCACAGGCATAAACCAGGGCCTAGCTACACATACAGCCTTGAATTTTAAAAGGTAGCAAATAATTTTGGAAGAGTGTAGTAAATGAAATTAAAGTTATTTTTTGAGAGTGCTTTGTGGGATGGACTAGTAAACTCTCTTAGGTGTAAAAGAGGATAGTGAGCAGAATAGGTAACAAAGGAAGTGAAAGCCACATGATTAAGAAGGCCCAAGCTCAGTCAGTGCATGAAAAGTATATGTTCAAATTGACTAATATAATTGGGTGAATGCTCTAGGTATGTATGTTAAAAAAACATGCATTTTCTTCTTTCTGTGAGTATTAAATAGATAATCCTAAGATTTATGCAAGGAAAGTGATTGCCTTGATCTCGTAGGCCTTTGGCCTTTGTTCAGTGAGTCAGCTTCATAGAAATCCCTCACTATGTAGCTGCCACATCATAACCAGCAGAAATACCTGATGAGATTTAGCAAATGTATGTTTAATTGATTACATCTTTAAGAGAAAAAAACAAGCCCACCATCCAAAGTTAGCAACAATGAACATCATTCCCATATGTCATTAATTGGATTGCAGGATTTATATGGATTATTTATGTTAATGTTTTAGAGAGTTCAGTCTATATAAATTTATATATACATAAATAGAAATGAAATATTTCAGCTTTATCATTTTCAACATTTTCTCATACTATTTTTATTTTATTACTTTAAATGGAAATTTCATTCAATTAATATACTCATTATCTCACTGAAAATATTTTCTACAGGAAAGGCATGGTGGTACATGCCTGTAATTCCAGACGCTCAGGGAAGAGGAACTGCAGGTTCACAGTGGAAGCTAGCCTAGGATAAATTAAGCCATGACCCTATGTGGAAAATCAAAACAAAACATTAACTAAAACATAAAGGGCTAGACCAGGAACAGGGTTCAAATAGGAGTGGCTTTTGTTAATAAATGCATGACCCTGAATTTTATCCCCAGGAGTCTTAAAATAAATAAATAGATAGATAGATGAACTAATAAAACATTTTCATAATTTTATATATTATTCTTTTCCTTCATGGCTGAGAGAACTGATGCAAGCAGTTCTAACAAAAACAGAAGTTGTAGATACATTTGTGATTACATTGAACACATTATTTTATCTCAATAACTGGAACATTTTGTTTATATCTGGCCCAGATTTTCTTAATTCAACTTTGTATTAAATATAAATATGTATTCATACGTGATACTATACACATAGTTAAACATGTTTTCGTAAGTATTAAAGTGAGAATAACTTGAGATGTATATTCCTTAAAATATGTGTGTTCAGTTTATAGGCTATGTAAAACAGGTTCTTCTTAAATTTTTCAGGTTTTAAGAGTTTGCACGTTTCTTTCAGTTTGCACAATAAGCAGTTTTTATATGTTAAATGACAAGGAGAATCAGAAAAAGAAAAGCTTCTTACTTGCTACTTGTTATTTTCCTTTTACCTTAATATATATGAACTATCCACAATTAAATATTAAGGCAAACCCATTTCTCTATCTAAGCTTTGGACCTTTAAAGTTATGAGTCTGGGAAGCAGCGCTGTAGCACAAGTGGTAGAGTGCTTGCCTTGAGCTGAAGAGCTGAGGGACAGTGCCCGGGCCCAGAGTTCAAGCCCATGACTGACAAAAAAAAAAAAAGTTATGAGTCTGTTTAGAGCATTCAGATTTCTGATCGAATTGAGACCCTTGAAATTATTAAGCAGGTATTCTGCCACTTTGGCCAATCAGAAACTTTAGAGTCCTATTTTAAGATGTATTTGCTGTAGAGAAAGTAATAAAGGGGAGGTGAATCTGATCTCAGAACATTGAATGCATGTAACACATAAAATTTGCAGTTTTACAATGAATATATGCTAATAGAATGGTATTTTGGTTTGCATCTTACCTTGATTGGCTAAGAGCGTGTCCATGTTTTCAGACCATGTCATTGCTTCTGTAGTTGGTGACCTGTAGAAACAACATCTACCCTTGACAATATCATTGTGATCTTTTTATTTTATATCCTGCAGTAATACTTGAATTATATTTCTGAGTTAAACTATACTATTTATAAACATTTAAGCTTTTAGTTAAATGACATAAATTTGTATGTATTTTGGTACCAGAAACTTATTTATTGATCTAACCAACAGTGTTTGTAATATTTGTAAATATTGTAATAAAGGCACTAGAGAGATGTTTTATTTGAGAAGCAATAGTGAAATTACTATTAATTTATAATTGTTCACTGTTAATTTGATCCACTCTCAAAATATTAGTTCGATAAAAGTGATAATGAATGTAATATTTTTAAGGTTTCACAGTTATAAGAAATATCCATTTCATATTTGTGTATCAAAAACTGTATCAAGAATACCAAAGATTTGATTATCTTTAAGATATTTTATTTCAGTGTTTCACAAAGAGTCAGATTTTATGTCTCTTTAGACTGGAATACTTCTAGTTTGGGACTGTTTTATTTAAATATAAGAATTTGTCAAGATAGAGTGCTAGTTTTTGAAAGCAGCCAATATTAATAGATGTAAGTCTTTTGGAGAATGTATACTTTAGGGTATATGATACAGAAATAATATATTAGGTTTAAGATTCATATTTTCTGTGACACATCATGCACTATTCCTCTTTAATAAACAAAAATCTTAATAAACAGTCTTCTATACACAAAAAGCCTCTACTTGCAGCCAAAAAGACAAGGTGTAGCTGTGATATACAAATATATAGTCACAAGAATAGATGAGAACATTTAACCTTTAAATTAAAATTATTGAATTAAAATAAAATAGTTTCATATCTAGGAAATTGCATAGAACTTTTGCATCTGCACATCAAGGTAACAATCTTAAATATGGCTATGTGATATGATAGCCACGCTCTAATTTCTTCCAGGTAGAGGTCGTCAATTTTATTTATTTATATGTTAGGACATACCAAACTGTGAGAACAGAGATATCTAAGATATTATTTTGAAGTGGTACATTTTAATTTAAATGGGTAATTGAAAAGATTCAAACTGCTCAGATTTCATCTTTCATAATTAAAGAATGAAACAAAATCCTAGCGTTAATTTTACATTGTAGAGCATTTGTGCATTGTGTTACCTTTAACATGAAAAGTCTACATTTCAGGTGTTACCTATGATTTAAATGTTAAATTTTGTAGAAACTCTAAAATGACCATAAGGTCCCTTGAAATGTGCTGTCTTAATACATATCTGTAGGCCAACTTAAATATAGTTATTAGTACATCATTAGAATTTAAAACAATTTATTACCTGTGGATATATGCTAATGCACGGGACACAGAGAAGATTTGAAACAGGATTTATCCATTTTGAATGAGGAACAGGGCAAAACCCTGAGAAACAGAATCTAGGCAAATTCACTCAAGGATAAACATCTATTACCTAATTCAGGTTTAAATTCTCCAGTAATAGGACAAAGCATTGTTCTCTTCCTGCATTGGGAACAGTAAGAAATACTGGTTGAAACTGTTAACAAATAATCAATGAATGATGATCAAACTTTATATAAAGGTAGATATTAAAACATTCAATGGAAAAGGGGACAATGGCTTTCTAGATGCTGGTAGACTACAGTTGGTACTACAGACTATATTGGAAAATATAGCTAGATTGTGGCAGTTAAAACGACACAAGGTCATGTGTTCTGGGGTAAGAAAGGGAAAGTTTACTTGAAAGCCTCCCTGAAAGGTAGTGGAGCATGGTGCACTTCAGGAACTTGGAAACAATGAACAATATCAAATGAATCTAACAGCCAAAGACAAAGTGAATAGCTCACCAGGACCTTATCAGCTGTAAAAACTGACTCTGAAGGATGGAATGTTTAAATAAATGGTAGTCGTACTTATTGCTATCATTTATTTGGGAAAACTGAAAACAAAAAAGAAGAAAAATCTAGAAGATGATGTTCATCTGAGACAAATTGTACATACATGCTTTGAATTGCAGAGATGAACTAAGTGCTACAAAGACATACATGTGGAATATTATAAACAGTAGAATTCCAGGTACTCGAGTATTCCAATATTAAGTAGGATACACAATATGCTAACTGACTCTAAAGGGAAAAGTAGCCCATTAGCTCTTTGAAGTTATATATTTACTTGATGTAATTATTATAGACATACTCAAATTTTTATTCTTTATATTACTGTACACCTATGTTAGAAGTAATACTGTACTTTTCAGAAAGTAGATGATATGTAATTATTTTAGGGAAAATCTTTGCTTGTTGAATTTAATTTTGAAATATTATATATATATATTGTAAATTGCTGAAAGTGCAAATTATTGGCAATTTTAAACAAACTGAAATAAAATATTTATCATAGCATTAGTATGTACAGCATTTCTGGATGTTTACAATGTACAGTGCATGAATTACCAATGAGAACAGTAATCAGAAATGTTGGTAACTGGGAAAACATTTCACAGAACTAAAATAATAAAGGGCAGAACTAAAATTCAGGTGCAAATATGTGTGTGTGTGTGTGTGTGTGTGTGTGTGTGTGTACAACTCAAACCCATTCCTCTTCATAAAATGACTAAGTCTGTGTCTACTATGGCTGCCCATTGCCTGGAGCATCTAGGATAAATGGGATGAAGTAGTTTTCTTCCATTAGGGTTTTATCATATTTCATGCCAGTGCTTTATCTAAATAATAGTTTGGTTGTGGCAATTAGTTACTTAATGTTTATTACAAGGAAACTGTGTACAATGCAAAATAAAATAGTATATTTCATAGGTTATTTATTTATGAAAAGTACAAGATTTTTCATTTTAAAAAGTACTGGGCACCAACAGCTCTTGTCTGTAATCCTCAGATTCACAGGAAACTTAGATCTGAGAATTTCAGTTCAATGCAACAGTGCACAAGAAAGTCTATGAGACATTTACCTCCAATTAACTACAAAAAAAGCTTGAATTTCAGCTGTGGCTTATGTAAAATACCGCCCTTAAGCAAAAAAAAAAAAAAGCTAAGGGACAGAAACCAGGCTCTGAGTTTTAGCTCCAATAACAGCATTAATTAATTGATTAATTAATTAGTATCAGAAAATAATTCTACTCAATAAAAATTATAGAAGTGGCTGATTTAAAATTGTATTGGGGTGGATGATTTTCTACCCTTGCAATCTCTTAAATCAATCAACAAGAATCCACCTTATCATTATATATCTGAATTTTTGTTAAAACTTTAACATAGGCTTTGTCTAGCCTTCTCATTTCTGGATGTGTATGTATGTATTTCCTATCATTTTTTAAACACTTAGAATAGGTTTCTGCATGTGTATGATTTGCCATGAAAATTCACTGTGTAGCTGGAGCCAAAATAGCACTTAGTATTTCATGGGGTTTTGGCTGATTTCCTGTCTGTTTTCTTCATTAAGCAAGTGCCATCAAGGCCAACAGTACCGATATTATATGTCCGGAGAAGAGCCAGGCCAGATGGGAGCTGCATGAAAGCTACCAGTTATGCTGCTAATTGTGCCAGCCTGAACCAGTTGTATTGCATTAAAAAATGTGCAATCCAACAACTTAGCTGTTCACACTTAATTAGCAGTGTGCTGGAGAATGGAAAATTCAAGCAAGGATTCCTTGTGCCCGAGGAAGTGCCAGCTGCTTCCTTATCCAGCATTTGATATTTCTTGAAAAAGTTTTTTGGAAAGTTTTGAAACAACACATATTTTTTCCCAGGATAATATATAGGTCTCTAACACCACTGGTAATTTTGCAAAACATCACATAGATACAGAATCACGGTCTTGCTCCACTTTATAATCTTTCTGTATCTAGCCAACCTGAAGAATTTACTGACAAAGAAAGACAAATATGTCACATGTGGTTGATATGTTTTAGAAAGGAAGAAATTAATCGAGAAAGGAGAAAAATCAAGGAGGACAACATAATTGTATTTATCAGAAATGAAAGAAACAAAAGAGGTAGAAGACTTGAATGTTTCGTTTGTGTATCTTCCAAAGTAAAAATAGCTTTAAACAGCAACTCACTTTACTGGCATTTTTCGTTCCACTCTGTCACAGTTGATGCCGAATTTCTCTTTCTGACTTATCTTCAAGCTGAAGGTAATGTGACAGCAGGAACATTATAATTAGTATGAAAATACCTTTCCCTAGGTTACAAATTGGCGTTCTTTAAATTATGCTACTCTCAGCCTTTTCCATTTTCTTGTTAACTTTTCTGTGGTCAAAACATTTTAAATTCTAAGTAACAAACAAGTCTTCAAATAAATATTACATTTCTCTGAGTCTGGTTTATGATATCTATTTCATTTGAAAGTTTACTTGCTGAAGTTCATATGGATTTATTTATAAGTCAATCATTGCTCCAAAATGCTTATTATATTTTATAATATGTGTTTACTATTCACCTTTAGTGTTCAATCTATTCAAAAGGTTATTTTACTTTATTTTGTTCTTTTGCTTTCAGAATGTGTGAGGAAAATCCCTCTTTACAATGTCACAACTGCTGTGTTTAAGTAGTTGAAAATGTTTTTTTTCACATGGACCAAATCTTCTAGTAAAAGCATTATCTTTGAAATGTATGCAGTTGGTAGCTGAATAATGATATTACTTTTAACAACTAATCACATGAAATGTATACTAATACTTATTTGCACAATGGTAATATTTTTAAAATATATACTTGATCCAAATAAAAGCAATATACTGGTATTTGTGTTGGCAGACATGCTTTCAAATACTATGCTTCATCAGGATTTTCTCTCATTTTAACAGACTTGTTTCATCATAAACCTACATTATATACATATATATACCTTAAATTTACCATCTATATGTAAGTATTTATATGCACAAATATGGATCTCCATTTTGATATATGTATATAGATAGATACCATTCTGATCTATATATAGAGAGAAGAGATAGAGATAGAGATAGACAGATATACACACATATGTACTTACAGATATTTCTAATGGTATATCTGTAAAAATGCATAGAGAAATACATATATTTATAGATATAGCTGTGTGTAGATATCTCTATATATTAGAGATATATTGATGTTTCTCTCTTTTTCCATCTGTATATCTTTATCTATCTCTATCTGTCTATATATCTACACACACATATATATATATATATATCTTATATAGATATATAGAAATAGATCTATACAGATATGAAGATATACACATACATGTATAAAACTACATAGTTTCAAATAGTATATGTAAATGTGAGAGCATGTTTTATACATGAATACACACATACACTTATACATGAAACACTTTATAATAGGGTGGTAGAAAGAAAGAAATGAGAAGGCTGTGGAAATTATTTTTCCATAGCCGGGCACTGGTGGGTCACACCTGTAAGCCTAGCTACTCAGGAGGGTGAGATCTGAGGATCATGGTTCAAAGCCAGCCCAGGCAGGATAGTCCATGAGACTCTTATCTCCAATAAACCACTACAAAACCGGAAGTGGCACTGTGGTTCAAGCAGCAGAGCACTTGCCTTGAGCTGAAGAGCACAGGGACAGCACCCAAGCCCCAGAGTTCAAGCCCCATGACCAACAAAAAAAAAAAAGAAAGAAAGAATGAAAGAAATTATTTTGCCTTGACTTACTATTGAAACATCCCCTTTATCTGCTTTTTAGAAATGCCTAGTATCTGAATGACCCTGGACTAATGATACTGATAAAAATAGAAGAGATACCATGATATGTCAGTGTTTCATTAAGAAAGGATATTATCAAGTAACTCAATTCATTCCTTAATTTAAGCACCATTAATTAGTGTTCTTATGATATGCAAAAAATGAACCATTAAGCATATTTTACCTTTCTTTTACAGTGAAATGATAATGAAGCACAACTCTATAATATATGCTTTAAAACACTACAGTTTTAACAACAAGTTGCCCAAGTTTTAAGATTCTGTTGGTAAAACTGAGTAAAGTGTTTAAGAAAAAGGAGCTTGGAACAGACTTATTTTACATTAAAAAAGAATGGAAACTTCTATTTTGAGTTTGATAAATTGTAATCATGGCATTTCTCATTGTATTCTTGTTATAAACCACAATTATTATCTAATAGTATGTTTCCCTTTTTTTTCTAATCTTCTTTTCCTGGTTCAGGACAAGAAAAAAAAGAATTAAGCTTCATATCCTTAAATGAAGGTCTGAAATACAAAGGGCAAGTGAGACTAATCTTTTATTTTGGGACAAATGAGTCTTTATACAATGATCAATACATCTGGATAATCAATTCGCACTAGTAGACATCATTGATGCCTCTAAATATCACTAGCTTTTAGTCCAATCATGTTCAGGTTCAATCATTACAGCTTTTCCCAGTTTGATTAGTTGAAAAATGACTCCACAAAGATGTCTACTTCCTAATGTCTAGAGAATATACTATCTTCCATGTCAAAGAGGGTTTGAAATGGTTTTCTTAGATTTTCCAGTGAACCCAATGTAAATATTTGAAGTCCCTGAAAAGGGATGGAAGGAAGATTAAAGTCAGTAATGGGATATGTGATAGGATATGAGAGCATGGAATTACATGATAATGATAAGTTATTTTTCTAGATCAAGCTTCCACTAGCAACCAATACTGCCAATAGCTTGATTTCATCATGTGAGATAGATTTTTTTTCTTTTTTTATTGTGAAAATACTGTACAGAGGGGTTACAATTACATGGGCAAGATAATGAGTACATTTCTTATCAAGCATTGTAGCCTCCTCCTTTGTTTCCCCTTCCCATCCCTTCCCAGCCTCCTCCTGCAAGTATGGGGTTCCTCAAAAGATTCCACATAGAGCTCCCCTATGACCCAGCAATCCCACTTTTGGGCATTTATCCAAATGTTTACAAACAAGACCACACTAAAGCTACCAGCACAACTATGTTTACTGCAGCATTATTTACTATAGCTAAGATATGGAAGCAACCCAGATGCCTCTCAGTAGATGAATGGATCAAGAAAATGTGGTATATATACACAATGGAATTCTATGCCTCCATCAGAAAGAATGACATTACCCCATTTGTTAGGAAATGGAAAGACTTGGAAAAAATTATATTAAGTGAAGTAAGCCAGACCCAAAGAAACATAGATCCCATGTTTTCCCTTATTTGCAATAACTAGTATATGTCTGAGTCAAGCAGAAAAGGTCAGATAAGGTGATGTTAGGGAAATGAACCCTAAGATATGTATTCAAATGTTTTTTTTTCTTTCATGTGATTGTTTTTAACACATTTATTAAATTATTTCTTTGTGAGATAGATTTTTTATTCTGCAACTCCTGGACTCTAAGGTCACAATCTGTTGCGTTATTTGTTTTGAGCCATGAAGTTTTCAGCAGCTTGTGTAGAGGCTGAAGGAATCCAACATACTCATGAAATGACACTCTATAAAAATTGGAAAAGCTGATAAAAGATAGCAAAATAGGCACATCTTTTGACCCAGTGAATACAAAAAGTTGTGTACCTTTCAGTTCTCATAGCAATCTTGAGTTTTTTGAGCTTCTATGTTACTGAAATTGAGAAAGTGTTTTATGATATATGGCTCAAGTGGTAGAGTACTCATCTTGAGCTGAAGAACTCAAGAGCAGTGACCAGGCCAAGAGTTCAAGCCCCACAACCAAGAACCAAAACCACCACAACAAAAGACTACAGAGGAAGTGTTGCATATGTTTGCCTTGTTTTCCTTTCTGTATTTTACAAAACCCAACGATGATTATAATACAGTATATCTAAGTGACGATCATGCCATCAAGTAATTAATGACTTGAGCTTTAGAATTAGCATGGGTAAAACCTTTGTAAGAACACATCTCAACAGAAAAGGCTGGATATGGTGATACATTTTTTTTTATCTCAGCTGTAACTAGGAAGCATAAATAGGAGTCTTATGGTATGAGCCAGTCTGGGCTCAAAAATAATGAAAAGGAAAAGGAGTGGAGATGTGGTTCATGTGCAAGTCCCTGGCCACCAAAACAAAAGCAGTAACAAGAGAAAGAATGAAGTTAAGGAGGCGTGAGTGTTCAGGATAAAACTGAACGATCAGTCTGTAAGAATATATTTACAAATATCATCTGAAGTGTAAATATGTGACCTACATTAACAGTGTATTTGGCAACAAATTATTTAATATTAAAATTTGTTTTATAAACAAAAGAGAATACTGTATTTTTTAAAAATTATACATTGTCTGCTAAGTTACTACTATGTAAGGGGCAGTTTAATTGATATGGTCCCTAAGTTATTTTTTGAAGCAATTATGAGGGAGAACTTGAAATGTTTGAGCAATGGCAATATCACTGATATGTGTCTCATCTCGCAAAGGGTCTTTTTGAAATATAATGCTCATATATGTGGAGAGAAAGTGAGGGAGAGAGAAAGAAAGAGAAAGGGAAAGAGAAAGAGAATCCTTCTTAATCTGTTTGCTGCTAAATCACTCACAATACTTTCTAGTCACACCTGATGACATTAGACCCTGGATGTCTGTTCTATGTTTTCTCAGAATGCTGATTCTAGACAGTCCAAGAAAATATCTGCCTCGGTAAAGAGAAATATGTAGAAGGTTAAGAAGACCTGTAATATAAAAATGTTTTCTAATGCCTTAAAAGTTAGGTGAAAGTCTGTATTTGATGAATTTATATGCATTATTTAATTAAAATTAAATGTGAAACACATCATAAAATCTAGTGAGTTAAGAATATTATTCTCATTCTAAACAGTGTCTTTTGGAGAAAGTAAATAATGCTGACCTTCACACTATAATCTCATAGTCTTTATAATTTTGATATTTATTAGTCCCTAGTTTTTCAACTGCTGCTAAGTATTTCAACATACAGATATTAATATTGCAACCATTCAATTGGTATTTCAGCATAGTTAAACTTTGCCACTGATATTTTGTATATACAGCAAGTGTTTAAATTTTCTCCTGGACTCTACCCTTCCCTTCCCTTCCCTTCCCTTCCCTTCCCTCCCCTCCCCTTCCCTCCCCTCCCCTCCCCTCCCCTCCCCTCCCCCCCTCCCTCCCCTCTCTCTCTCTCTCCCTTCCTTCCTTCCTTCATTTCT